CACAGCTCGCATGGCATGGAGTGCATGGATCACATGGAGTAGCATGGAGCTAAAGGGGGAGCTTCTTGCGCCCCTTAAAGCTCTGCGCTCCATGCACTCCATGCTACTCCATGCGCCATGCGTGCTATAAACTACTCTGCAGTATAGGTATAGCTATTGCTTCTCCGTTTCTCTCTCTCATCCTTCCCTTGGGAGAACAAACCGCTGAGTCCTTTTTAATACCCAGCGTGACCAGATGGATTCTGGATCTTGCTGGTCGTGAAATACTGTGAAACGAATGTCGTAGACATAGAGCTACATCACCCACATTATTATGAGGTCAATGATCCAGTCACCGTCTTATGCGAAGAAAGATGTCTTTCTCTCCGTCACAGCATTTCCCCACGGAGCTTCGAGCGCTTTATCAATCACTGGGATAAGCGGACGTAGCAGTAAAATAGTTTACACTTCCTTTCTTTATATGTCAATGACAATGTTATCCTTATCGTTAGATATGAGGTGGTGTTGTTCCAAATCTGCAAACATCAAGTTATTGTGAAAGCTCAGCAGCTTCCTTCAATAGTGTTGCCAGCTGAATTCTGTGTGAAACATCAACACACACGAAGTTCTAGAACATTTTCCCAGAAACCGATTCAAGAACTACCTTTCTCATAGACACATATTTCGTACTGGTCATCGTCGCAGGTCCCCAACTACTACACTTGCGCTCTGACACCACGCACCACAAGTGGCCGCTCCGCTACATTAAGCCAAGACTCAAAAGATGCTATCGCCATTACACGAAGAATTTTGAGCGCCACAACTGCAGAAATAAGCAGAAAATCGAACATGCCAAGGTGCAGCGAAACCACCTCACCTATCTTCGTTGCCAGAGGTTAGAAAAAAGAGGCTTCACGAAGAACATCAACTAAGTAAGTAGATGAAATGCAAATGTCGGATATGATTTCTTTTGCAAAGATGCTCTCGTTATTTAGGTTCAGAGATATGCAATGATAAGGATAACCAGGAGCAAGAAAGACGCAAATGATCAGTTCATCTCGCTTCCTTAAGCGTAGAGCATCACCGTTGTTGCGCTCCATCCTACAACGAACCGCACCACGCACACCAGCCCAGCCGCCGGATTCGGGCTATTGTAGTACGCAAGTACCTTGCATCGCAAAGCCGCTATTGCGATCGCGTCGGCGAGCAGAAAAGCAAGTAGGATAACACGCACTAATACCCACGATGGGTCTAGAAACTCGACTCCGATTACCACAGAGGGTATCTGAACCAGAAACAAGATGACATCGAGTATCAGCGCCCGCGCAAACAATTCAATGAAGTCCTCACGAGTCTTAGACTGCGTCTGAGACAGAAACGAAGAGTAGTACGCAAAAGCACGAACGCACATCTTGTAAGTATTATGTCTTGAAGTTTGTAACAGTAACAAAAAACAACACAGATCAAGGATTTCGAAAAAGTTCCAATCAAGGATTACATGACAGTGTGCCCTATATAATTCAATCTTCAGTGGATAGAAGTAGCGCTCATACAGTCACTCTACATCTGATCATGCTGCGGCCACTCAGGGTGTCCATGCAGTTGCGATGATCATTTACACTGCAAAATCCGATCAAATGTGTGCTGCAACTGGATCAATTTGATCATGTGAAGATGATGTTGAGAAAACAATTGGAGCTGCTCAACTCCCAGCTAATAACACCGATATGCTTCTTAGTCTCGCTGAGACGGACGCTGCAGGTCACTCAAAAAAGTCTACTTAGCTTGCCTTGCGCTTGGTGTAGACGTCGCAGCAAGTGCTCCGATGCACATGCTGGCACAAAGGTGACTCTGCCTTTTGTCTTGTTAGGTAAAACGCCACTCGCGCGCCCTCGCTCTTGCCGCTGCTGGTTGCACTGATCGCATCTTTATCGGATTACACATTCGCCTTGTACGTGATTCACTTCTAGTATTTTTGAAAACTCAGTGTGAGTGACAGAAACCTGATGACTCAATATCAGGTGGCTATCGGTTGCAACCTCCTGATGTGCAAAAGTGTAGACGAAGAGAAATCGTTCGACCTCAAAGTAGTGTAGCATTATAGGAAATGAGGATGAATGTTACATTTTTGTACTGACTCGTAGTTCGATCGATTATTTGAACAAGCTGTAGCCGTAGCAGTAGTTGTTGGTGATGGTGTTGAAGCTCATTGTCATCTAGTACATAATATTAAGCCGGTACTTGTACTACTTCTTGATCTTGAATATGCTATAACTACGCAGTCACTTTTTCACCGGAAACACTCTTTTTTGGGCAGAGTGCCCCCTACGATTGCTACGAGTCTGCATGATCGATAAATGTCGGCTTTCAATCCCCATGCTCAATGAGCATGGGGCAAAACTGCTACAATCAATGACAATATCTAAGAAATCGTTTCATTCAGGACATTTTCTATATTTCTTGTTCAGTTCCTTCTAATTCTAGTAGTTTGTTGGTCAATTAATTATGCTCTCACTGATGCTGTCCGCTACTTCGTAGATATCCATTTATACATACACTTTCTCTTCAAATTGATTTTTTGAATTAAGAAGGAATTCCTCGTTTGTAGATAATTCGGAGAATGCTTAAAATTCATGATGCAAAAAGGGAATAGTTCTTACTACTCTGGAAGATTGAAAAATGCTGCTCATGCTCGTGCTCAGCATGATGGTCATCACGATTATGATACATGAATGCTTAAAATTCATGATGCAAAAAGGGAATAGTTCTTACTACTCTGGAAGATTGAAAAATGCTGCTCATGCTCGTGCTCAGCATGATGGTCATCACGATTATGATACATGAATGCTTAAAATTCATGATGCAAAAAGGGAATAGTTCTTACTACTCTGGAAGATTGAAAAATGCTGCTCATGCTCGTGCTCAGCATGATGGTCATCACGATTATGATACATGAAGATGAAGATGAATATTGATACCTGCCTTCGAGGTCCTAGTAATTCATTGAAGTTGATACGTGTCGTTGCTCCCTCCACGACGATGACCTTCTACAAGTACAACGATCATTTTCAAGAAAATGAATATGACGGTATTTACCAGCAAGTTGTACATCAAACTGATAACCTTTGTCTCAGAAACCGAGACAGTAGCGTTTCGCGTTGCACTCACCAGATGCAATCATGACACTCGCAATTCGTATCGAGCTCACCACATGTCAAACACGAAGCGTGCTCGCATCGACACTTTTCGCAAAAAGCCTGCTCGCACGTCTTGCACCAGAAAATCGCGTTCTCGTGTTGATGCAAGCAGTCCTCGCAGAAGTAGCGACCGCAATCATCGCACCAATTACCATCTCTGATTGTCGCGGACTTCTTTCCTCGAAGGCAGTCACACTCATCGCACCACTCTTTGCGACAAATCTTACAGTAGTCGAACGAATCGTTCCCACAAGCCTTGCACTTACCGTAGGTCGATCCGGTTGCTTGCTTCTTTCCGCCAACGAAGCGCTGTCCCAGAAGCTCGCCGAGTTGCTGCCTGTCAAGAGGTGGCAGGACTGGTGCTGGCCGAAACATAGTAGTACCAGCAACTAAGCGATCTGCGACGGGAACCTCCTTAGAAGGAAATAAATCCTTATCAGCCGCGCGCGCAACGTTTAGGGGCTCACCAAACAGACCTTCGCCATCATTCACGATGAAATCCGAGAACGGGCAGCCGAGGGCGTCGCCGAACAGGTCTCCATCGTCATTCAGGACGAAACCTTCAAAATTAGAAAGACCATCATCGCCACACCTGAGATCCGAGTGGGAGTGGCATGCTGGTTACATAGATAATTCAATAATACCATATTCACAAGGATAAGCAGGATTTGATGTTTGGAGAACTGAGGAAGTATAGATATCAAACAAGATGAGACCATGCCCACATGAGCAACGTATGGACAAGATTTACCGATATCAAAATGAAATAAATCAAAATTTTTCATGAATAAAAATATGATTTTGATTTCGAAAATCCGCCTTACGGCGTGTCCCGCTTTTCGGCTTCCGCTGCAGACGCAGACGGCTGATGTTCATCCTCTGTGACCGCCTGCTTTACCTTCGTGTCGGCTTCTACTTCTGCTGCGATCTCTGTCTTCCCATGCAAGTCCAAAACGGCCTTCACACCTGCTTCGATTCCTGCGGTTTTCAATCTCGGATCCATTTCATAAATGCTGAGAGCATCTTCAAACGCACGCTTTAAAGTTTTCTCTTCGATTTTGATGTGACGCTGCTTTTTGTTGCAGTCAATTTCGATGCTTGCGCCACCCGACACACGGCGGCGCTTCAGAGAATCGCCCACGTCCAGATGTGACATTCTGTTTCTGGGTCAAGGTCGCTCTTTCAAGAGATACTTGTTGAGGTTGAGATTCTCGTTCTTGAAGATAGAAAATTTTGTTATGAAGTTCGAGTTCCTAGTTGGTGCTTACAACTTTTCCACTACATATTTCTTGGGAGACGAGAGCAAAACTGAAAACGGCAGATAGTGATATTAGTAAGTAACTCGCGAGAAAATTATCCAGCCCCAAATGATGAGGGAATTCAGGGGTGCAGCAGAAATTTCGAATGTTACGACCGTCGATGGATCAAAACTATGATACTGACATAGACTGTAGAGCTACTTGCATTCACACGGTACCGCTGCAAAACGACCAACAAGTCGAATTCACGGAGGGGATTCGCGAGGCAGATCGAAAACGAGAGAACGATGAATCATATCATGACGATCGCATACAGCAGCAACCGAAGGCACATAACAAGAAGCTATCAACAGAAAGACATGACGTTATAACTCCGATGAGGTCCGAAGCTCCGATTGCGGTCTTCTACATATTCCGAATTGTGGTCATTCTCGTAAGGAATCGGATTCAGTTTTTTATAATCGAGGCAGGTGACAGACTGTGAGCCCCTCCTTAGCGTGTAATGCGCATGAAGCTGCAAGCACAAGCGACAACCAATGCATTTTCACTTTGTGTGGAAATACTTGGTAGTGAGACGATCAAAGTTTCGCCTTCATCCCGGTTTCACCTTCATTGAAAAAGTCTGTGTAAGACATGTCGTGTGAAGTAAAGTTTGGCCTCCTCTTTTCGCGCAGAGCCGCGAGACCTTCCTGCATGTCTTCTGTCGCGTAGCAGTGGGCCTGTGCGTCTGCTTCTCGCCATAACGCGGTGTCGAGACCCTGGTCCTGAATGTTGCGCAGACTTCGCATGCACCCACGCATCGGTATAGGTGCCTGCCGTGCGATACGTTCGCCCAACTTTGTTGCTTCCTCCACACACAAAGCAGGATCTCCAGGGACGAGCTTGCTCCCAAGGCGAAGATCCTGTACCGCCTCTCGGCCGTCCACGACGTCGCCTGATAAAAGCATCCGAAACGCTGCCTCAGGACCAGCAACCGAGGACACGAAATGTGTAGCGCCCATGCCTGGATGAAGTCCCAGAGACACGAACGTGAATCCAATTTTTGCGGTGTCGCAGAAAACACGCATGTCGCAGGCCAAGGCTAAGCATGCGCCCGCACCGATCGCCGCGCCGTTCACTGCCGCAATCGTCGGGACCGGGAGCGAACGCACAGAGAGAAACTTGTGATAGAACTCATTCATTATTTGCGAGTTGCGCTGGTGGAAATGCTGTTTGCGGCCCTGATCAGCGCGTCTCTGCAGAAAAGCGAGATCGCCGCCAGCAGAGAAAACAGGCGCAGGGAAGCCGGTTATCACGACGGCGCCTAGATTCCCAGGACTGCGCCGCAAAGTGGACACAATCGTGTTGAAGTCCTCGGCAATCTCTTCCGTTAGTGCGTTCATCTTCTCTGGAACCGAAAAGCGGATCTGTCCGACGCGCCCAACGCGCAAAAACTTCACGCTTTTCAAGTTCTCGAGCAACATCTTTGGGCTTTGGAAATTAGGTGCAGCAGGACGTAGGAATGAGGTGCTTGAGCAAAGACTTAGGACTAAAAAATAGTAAAGAGACTTTGACTACTTAGCACTTACACTTATAGTAGAGCAGTTTATAAGGTTTCACAGCTCGCATGGCATGGAGTGCATGGATCACATGGAGTAGCATGGAGCTAAAGGGGGAGCTTCTTGCGCCCCTTAAAGCTC